GACGAATGTCTAATGATTTTTTGAGGAAAAATTTAATGAAATATATAGTAAAAATGGTGCAAATATGGCAAATAATGTCGAATTATATAGTAAAAATTGATTGTTGATTTAAATTATATGTCAAATTATATAGTAGAAATCGATTGATGATTTATTTATGTCAAATTATTTGCCGAATTATATGGTAGAAATAGATTGACGATTTATTTATATCATTAATATGCCGAATTATTTGTTTTTTTGATGAATGTTATACAAGTGGCATTATGCCGAATAAATATTTTTTGACTAGTGTAGATTAAAGAAGATTTGAAGTTTTTATATAACCAATAGCTTCTAAACTACTATTTATTAAATAATATAATACTATTGAAATCTGCTTTTTTTTTCTCTTAAAACTTTATTGCCATTGATAAAAGAGATATTATTTAAATATCATTATAATATTGATGGATTTTTTATTATTACTCATTCAATAAAGACAAAAAAAAAAAAAAATAATTTATAAGAAATTGAAATAATATTAATGCCATGATAGGCATCATATTTATATTATTTGAGAGTTAAAAATATATTAGCTTCCTTACTTAATAAAGATATATAAAGAAATTCTACTATAACAATAAAAAAAAAAAAAAGAAAAAAAAATTGACAACAATAAAATAATTGTTTTAATAATTAATAACCTTGTGAATAGATTTTGAAAAAAATTAAATCGGTTTCATTAGGCTAAAAATATATTATCGTTGTATTAATTATACTAATTCTAAATTTAAATATTGTTCTAGAAAAAAACAGTCCTGCATAATATTAAAGTGTTTTTAAGTAATAAAATAGAATAAAATAAAATATCACATTCCAAATGCATGATTAATAGTAGCAATAGATAAGTTTACTTGGTTTCATTAAGATTAGAATTACCTTTTTTTGGTTTTTTTTTTACAAATGTTGTCTCTTAAATATTATCAGCAGATCAATGCATTTTACCAAAACCATTTAAGAAACCGGTTCCTACAAAAATGACGCTAAGATGCCAAGTGTTTTTGAAGTTAACCGAAAACGCATGAAGAAAACATACGCACACTTTGAAATTATTAGTGTAATCAGGATCGTTCTTTCCTGCAAACGTTCCACATGTTTGAAATTAAAAAGATATATATATTTTTTGTTACACATAAAGATGTACCGATCTATGATCACGCATTCACTCGTAATTCAAAAAAAAAAAAAAAAAGATTTCTATAATACAATTTTTTAAAAAAAAAAAATGAAAAAAAAAAAAAAAAAAAAATGAAAAGAAAAATGAAAAAACTAACCTCATTAATATTGATATAAGCCCACCACCCATATGTTGGATGATGGGTTAAAGTAAAAAATGTTCGAATCATTTTAACTCGTTATTGAGCAATTTGTTAATATAATGTTTGGGGCACGATGACTCTGGTTCTCGTAATTCACACATGTCCCATCACCACGGAAAACTTTAGCGTTGACGAAGCAGGGTTGGGTGTGGCAGCTGCAGAACCATCATATTCACGAATATCCAAAAGATAGTCGTCTTGACAAAGGCTTGAACTCCTCCAACCCTATAATTCAATAGATGCTCGTTTAGTGAACTAAAAAAATGGAGATAATAATTCATGAATATCGCCGTTACTCACCCAACTTTGCATTAATGCGAAATTATCCGGGCTACTCTGAAATTGGGTCAACACATGACTGGGACCTCGGGCAGGACAAAATATTTTAAACCAAGTCCTCACAGTCTTCCTTTTATCCGCGTATCTCGAAAAACTCTTTTCATCATTATTATTTTTCATCAAGCGGGCTGAGGTGGGGTATCGATCATCCGAACCAGGCGATGAGGTAGGACTCTTGTTTGAGCTCATAATTGAAGGTGATGTGGAGCTATTTCCACAAGGATCGGGCATCGAATGACGGTGCAAATATACACCAAGCTGTATACCCTTCCGAGGAGTCTTTATCTTCTGGATATACATATTCCAATTGGACCTATATCAGAAAGATGCCGGTGTGAATAAAGAGGGATCATAATGGTAAATAGTTCAACAAAAATGATTGATGACGTTGGGCATACCCAGCATAGAACTTTGTCCCGGAATAAACTCTCTGTTTTTCTTTTAGCTTCGCGACATCCGAAAATTCCACGCTAAATCTGAAGGGAGCGAACAACGAGTATTCTACGCTTCCCTTATTACCTTCACCTTCCTTCACCACCTTATTTCCTCCCCCGACCATGTCCTCCAATCCAGTAAGCGGCTCTCCTATGTGAGTCGTATCATCCGAAGGAATCTCGAAGTGGACTCCCGTGGAATCGGACGGTATCTCGGAAGAGGAAATGCCCAAGGTGCCATCCGTATCAGCAGCATTTTCGATCTTGTTGCGAAGATCAATCTGTTGCCACAATGCATCCTTTATTACATAGTCGGGTGCAAAGGGGACATTGACAATTGGATCACGATCATGTAAAATAGAATTCAATTCTTCAAAGGTCATGTGGGCATAATAAATAGCGTAAGTAAATATGGCGGTGTAAATTGTTTCATCACTTTCAGCATGCATGGACGACGAGATCGAGCACATGGAACTTATTGTACTAGTGGAAGCGGCCTGCCTCGTGTGACAAGCGTATGTATCATTTAATCGTTTATGTATATTTGGCGTGGTTGAGGAAGAGGAAACAGAATTGTCCGAAGGTAAATTAACTAATTCTGATAATTCCAGGTTCTCCAATGACAGCGTCATTAGATTCAGCCTTTTTTGTTCGATTGATATTTTTCTCCGTTCGCCGACTATATCTCTTGCGAACAAGTATCTTTCATATTCACTCGGAACCCAAAACGCATCGCTCTCTATCACCCTTTTCAACCATTCGGCGGGTAATGTCAAGAATGCAGGTTTAAGTCTCATACTCTCATACCCTTCCCTGCAAAGATAGGTGAAACAAGATTCTGTTATCTTTTCCGAATGGGGACCGTAAAAATGAGAGGTGGCGAAAGTAAGATAATGCACCACGGTTTCGTCTCTGATGTCCCTTAGTATCACCTCCACACACATCTCGCATAAATCTTGCAAATCGAGAAAAGAGGAAGTCGCCAGAAGGCCGAGAACCTGAGATGGCAGTATGAGCTCATCCAATCTACCGTACAGGCGACCCAAGGCAATCTCGAATGCATCGCGCGTTATATTTTCATCATCAAAACGAAGTTCGATTGCCTTTTGACCATTCTCCTTCCACGGTCCTTCCAACAACACCGAAAAATAAGGATTTTGATAAAGAATAATCTTATGCAGATGATATTCTTTATCGAAAGCTTTGATCGTCACGTCACTTCCGCTTCCTTCAACCAAACCTCTCGAATAGATATGCTTACAAAGACTCATCATTTGACGTAAAACTCTTTGCGGGTCCTGAGCAGGTGGTGGATATACAGACGAGGAAACTGCATCGCTAATGTAATCTCGGGTGTTCCCACTCTCCTTTTGTGTTGAAGTTAGGAGAGGGGACATGGTAAAGGGAACTGTTGAGCGCCTCTGAGCTGCAACTTTATTAAGCCTATTATTTTCCAATCTGAATGCTGCAACGGAAGTTAAATCTTCAAGTAATTGTGAGAATTCGTTGTCACCAGAGTCCTCTTTGAAAAGGTTCGAAATCATAGGGGAAACCCGAAGTCTTCAAGTTTCTTTATATGGTGACCCGGGAGAAAAGTAGTTTGCGTGTAGGTGTTAAATTGTTTTAATTGGTGATTAGGTGCTATTTAACAATATTTCGCACCTATTATAACTATTTATTAATGACTATCAAAAGGAAGGACGAGAAGTATGGGGGATACGTAAGTACTTTTAGTTCGTCGAATTAAAAAAATATAAAATAAATAAGTATAAAAATAGTTTTTCTTCATGCACAAGGTTTTCTTTCCTACACTGAGAGCGTTTGTGTGAGACAACAAACCAACCTACGTTGCTCGAACTTAATAAACTGTTTGAATGAAACAAATAACCGTAATCGTATTGGCCGGAAAATTGGTGGTAATGATTGTCATCACCTGTACGCATGCGTGTAAAATTATTTAATGTAATATCGTTGTTTCATTTCTTTGTGTGCAAGTGCAAGTCCCCATTATATTGTCGAAAGCGAGAAGTAAATCTGTCTTCTGGAAATAGTAGTGTGCTCATGATAATCATCACGCGTGGAAAAAAGGATTCTTTTTTTTTTTTAATGTATGATTTTCCAATGATAAAATAACCATTCATTAAACATCAGGTACCGATGAAATTGAAATTATCATCGTTGTCATTACAACCCCTGCGGAAATCACAAATCGATTTGCTTAAAACATGTATCAAAGAAAAAGGATTTTTTTTTTTTTTTAATAAATTAGGTGCGAATTAAAATTCGGTCACTAATTCACCCAATTCTTAGGATAAATCTGACCATAGACCCTTAAATACTCTGTGCGCAGAGGAATTCGAATATCATTTCTCCCAATCTTTCCACCAATGACAAGAATTCCAGCTGTTAGCAATCCAACCGTTGAAACGATTACTCCGTTTCTGATGATACGCTGCCTCCTTTTCGCGGCTTCCGAGAGACCTGGTTGTTTTTCCACACCTTTCTTGGACAATACGCTCTTCAAAATTTTGAATACGGCGGGTGCACCGCTAACAGCATGAAACACCCCCAATGTCACCAGAACCGTCAATGCGAGATATGTCGAACGAGGCCATCTTTTAAGAGCAAGTGTGATGTATGTGGCATCGATCAATGAAGAGTCGCCAAAGTAACGCCTTGGGAGCCCACGAGCGACGAACGCGTGACCTAACACGAGCGGGATCAAAAGATACCCTGTCTCACGATGATAGGGAAGTATTAATCCTATTGCCCGTGATATGTGAGAGTCAGTGGTGGTCGTGGTGATTCTTGTTGTAATTTTTTGGCGAACGACCACTCCCTTGTCGTCAGTTTCGTCGGTGATGATCTTTTCAACCTTCTCGTGAACATCCCCAGTAAGCTTTCGCTGATCCCGCACCTTGCGTTTCCAGTATAACCTGATTATACCTTTGGCTATCCCCGCAAGCACGTGTCCCCAGAGAGACCCAAACACGATGACGGGTTCCAAGAACCTGTTTTGATAGTACACTCTGCCAAGGACGATTGTTTTATTTGTGAGTTCGATGCCACCGACGGTAGCCAAAGCGGTTGCGCTCAAATGGGTAGCTAAAAAAGTCGTAAAAACGACCGCCGTTCCTGACTGGATGGTGGTAAGATGGTAATAAAACCATGGTGCTGAAAATTTAGGACGAATCTTGGTGTTTCCGTTGGTGGGCTTCGAGAGTGACATGTCGAAAGAGCGTAAATAAATGCAGCTTCAATTCTTTGTACCATTTATTTACGAAACTCCCCGATAGTTCCGATTTTAAGTCCTATCATGATTATCGAATCTAAATCTGGCTGTCGATCTGGTGGCCGAACCTTCGTCCAGCCGGAAATCTTGAACAGTAAATTAAATTTTTAGGTTAAGCTTTTAATTAAACTTTATAAAATTCTTTCTGAAAGTTCCAACAAACAAATCTTTGGAATAAATAAATAAATAAATTTAATCTTCATTTTTCCTTTTGAACTAAAAAAAAATCTCGATTCAGTTATTTATTTGCAGAGCCGCTGAATGCTATTACTATAATGGGCTTAGCTTGCTAGAGTGAAGTCACCTGACTTGAGCCGATCGGATTCTTGGGTATTTAGCGTCCACGCGTATTTTTACTTTATCAAATCCGTTCTTAAGTAATCCAATAGAGAAAATGGGAAAAAGGAAGAGAAAAGGAACCAAAGTATTGGAGGAGGAGGTAGAGGAGGGCTCTCGGAAATCTACTTTGATTCAGTTGGGTAAAATTAGTAAAAGAATACGGACATTAAAATACGACTCTGAAAGCGTTTTCGACGAGACAAAAGGACTCAACGAAATCATTCCAGAGATAGACGGCAAAGTGCAAGAGGTTACTTTAGCTAATGATAAAAATAAACTAAAAGTTCTCGAATATACGGAACAAAACATTCCACGTACTTTGAAGAAGTATTGGAGGCAACGTTTCGATTTGTTTTACCTTTACGACGAAGGTATTCTCATGGACGAAGAAGGTTGGTATTCGGTTACCCCTGAAGCCGTTGCTGCACAAATTGCAGGACGCTGTCGATGCGATACGATTATTGATGCATTCTGTGGTGTTGGCGGAAATGCAATTCAATTCGCCCATACCTGTCACCGGGTGATTGCGATCGATATCGATGAGACAAAATTAATTTGTGCGAGGAACAATGCAAGAATTTATGGTGTACAAGATCGAATCGATTTCATTTTGGGTGACTATTTCAAGTTGATTCCCAAGCTGAGAGCTGATGTAGTATTCCTAAGTCCCCCCTGGGGAGGTCCATCATACATCTCAAAAAAAGAGTTCGATCTCAAAACGATGATAGCTTTGGATGGTGAAAAGTTATACTACGAGACTACTAAAATTACAAAAAACATTGCCTACTACGTTCCCCGGAATGTTGACCCTCAACAACTAGCAAAGTTGGTCGGTCGAGGCAATACTTGTGAAGTGCAACAGATATATGTCAATGGGAAATTTAAGGCTCAAATGGCCTATTACGGCGAATTAAAGTGTCATGATGCCGCTAATTGACGCAATTTTATTATGACCATTCCCAATATTCATGTCATCAAAAAAGTACACCTGGAAATATAATTTAATGGTAATATCCCAAATTGATAAATAGAAAAATCCGGAAAAACGAGTAGAACATATATAGACTTGGAAACTAAATAAAATCATGCGCGATCTAGAATCCATTTTTGTTTTAGCCAAAATTCAATGCAAATAAAATCTTTAACATTGTTGATTGATAAAATTTCAAATACAGTATATCCAAACGTAAAATAAAGTATATAGTGCAATTCAATTTAATAATTGTACGCACGTAGTTTTTTCAGAAAGTGCGATAATAAGAATTGATTCACGATTAGATCACATTAGTCTTATCAACTTTTATCAAATCTTTTGATAAAATTTCCAATGTATTTTTAAGTTCAATATAAAAAATAATATTAAGTTCCGACTAATTGATGTCAAAAAAGAACATTGTGTATTTAAATACTTTTGAAAATTAATTAGTGTACACAAAAATATATAAATAAATAATTATTTTTAAAAGTTTCAATTTAAAAATTAATTTTAATTAATTAATTAATTAATTAATTATTATGGCTGAACTTAGACTTCGCTTTTAATCTACAGCAAACACACAAATTCTTTCACAGTTGTAATAATGAAAAACCCAGAGAGTCTGAAGTAGGGTTTCTCATTAGAAAAAATATCAAGAAAAAGTTAGAATCAATCGAAAGAATAGAAGGATATATAATAGGAGTCAACTTTCTATCAACAAGAAGCAAACTCTATATCTATCAAGTGTATTTGCCATATAAGAAAGCTAAAAGTAGTTGGTTACAACAGCTACTTCAAAACAAGATTCTAGATAAGCAAAGAAATCACTTCAAAGTCATAATCATGGGTAACTTTAATGCAATTGTCAACTCAATAGTGGATTGATCACCATTCACAAACAAAACAATCCCAAGATACAGAAAAGCAGAAATAGGTCTCTTTAACTTTCTAGAAGACTGAAATTACATAGATATCCAAAACTCTTGGGAAGAAGAAGGGAATATCACCTTTATATGGGCAAATAACTCAGCATACAGCAGAATCGACTATATCCAGATATCATCAGAAATTAGTTTAAACAATATATATGAGTTCAAAAACATTTCAGTGGAGACACTACTAGGTAATGACCATAACCTGCTATTAACAAGAATGATAACAAACAATTTGTTCAAAAATCAGGTACAAGAGCAAGATAGAACAAAAGGTAAAAAAATACCAGATCCAGACAACTCTATTGTGGAACAATGAGAGAAATTCAAACTCTGAATAGAACGCAAGCTTCTAGAAATTGATATACAGGTTTTCTGATATAAAACTAAAAACAGCTTTCAAGAACTCGAAAAAGCCTGGCAAGAACTTGAAACCACAATTATTAAGGATGCATACAAGTGCCTCAAGAAAAAAAGAGTCTACTTCACTCCTAATAGAAGAAAAGAAGTTAAGATGGGATCAGTAATCCCAAAGAAGGATTTAGAAGCCTATAGAAAAATCAATAAGATCTACTTTCTTTTAAAGAAAATCCAAGTTAATTTGGATATGAAAACTACAGAAAATATGGAAAATATGGAGAAGGCCATTCAAAATCTACAAGGTACTTATAAAATCCCTTAATGAAGAATTAGTACCTCCCCAGTTGCAAGAAGAGATCTCAGAGCAATTGAGAAAAATTACTAAGATAGAACGTACCCTCAGAATGATATGCAAGAAAAAAAAAAGTTTTCATATCAGAAACCAAATCAAGAAGGCTCTGGATAACAGATGTGATGATCTTAGATCCAATCAGATATGGATGCTATGCTTAGTCTTAAATTATAAAAAACTAAGAATTACATTAAATCGGATACTAGCCACAAATTAGGAAGAGAAAAAATACATTGCTATTAATCCTCAAACTATCAGAAGCAAGGTTAAAGAATATCACAAAAGAGTATTCAAAAAGAGAAATGTCAATTTTAAGAATATGGATCCTTCCTAGAAAAAAGAATACCAACCTAAAGAATAGATTGATTCAATATGATATTCATCTTTAACAAAATAAATCAAAATAGAAAAGCTTGAAGTTACTTTGCAATCTCTTCTAAACAACAAAGCTACTAGCTCATCATACATCAGCTGCAAAATGTTCAAGCATTTAGGAATCAAAAGAAAAGGAACTTTATGTCTTCTTTTTAATAAAGTTTTAAGCACAGGTCAAATACCTAAGAAATGGAAAAGCAGCAACATCTATTCTATTCCCAAACCCAAGCCTTGGAAATACAATCTGGTAATACAAGACCTATCGTCCTTTTAGAAATAGCTCGAAAATGCTTTACCAAGATCCTTACCAACTGACTATTAGCTATTTGCAAGCAATGCAAAATATTAAAAGGATCAAACTTTACTAAGCTATAGGAAGAGAATATAGCAGAGCCTATCCATCTGCTGAACAATATTTGTGAAGAGGCTAGAGAAAAAAAAAAAGAGCTATAGATCCTATTTCAAGATACTGCAAAGGTATATGATACAATATTTCTACATATGCTTGAAAAGGCTATAGATTGGATTCGAATTCCTACAACTATTAAGAAGTTCATAATATACCTCTTCAAAGATAGAAGCTATAGTATTATT